ACCGCCGGGCACCGAAATCGGCGACAAAACTCACCTAACCCTTTAATCCGCTAGGACCCCTACAGAGGCAAGCTCTGATTGGGGAACATTTTTCTCAAAACTTGAAAGAATGTTCGGCGGTGGACAAACCTCCCTTTAGTAAACCTCCCTTTAGTGAAAACGGCCTGGGACCGAAACCGACGGACCTGGACCCGCGAAAGTGACGGCCGCGACGCCCTCTCGCGAGTCGAAAACGGCCAATTCCTTAATAGACGTGTTGTCAGGGTCGGGGATGGACAGACCCCCCTTTAGTAAAACGTGGCTTAGTGAAAACGGCCTGAAGGCCCAAACCTGGCGGGCGCAAGCCTGGAAAATAACGGCCACGGCGCCCTCGCGAGAACCGAAAACGGACAACTCACTAATCGACGTGTCACTGTTGGGGGTTCTGTCCACCCCCTACAGGGTAGGAGGCCCAGACATGCGACGTCCTGATTTTTTCAGGACGGCGTCCCTGGAAGTCCAGACCCTTTCCCCGAGGCCGGTTTTTCGGCCTGACTCATTTTTTGACGCTCCCGCGGCCCGGTGAGGACCTCCAGAGGGCGAAAATAGTGAAAAACCTTCCGTTGTGATTTTTTCACGACGCGAGGGGGTCTGGGACTGTTGGGGGTTCTGTCCACCCCCTTCAGGGTAGGAGGTCTACCCACCCCCGAATCAAACGCAGAGCTCCTGGGCCACAGCCGCGGGCCTCCGGCGGCAGCCCCGCAAAAAGGACGGCCGCGACGCCTTCTCGCGAGTCGACAACGGCCAATTCCTTCATCGACGTGTCAGGGTGGGAGGTCTCCCCACCCCCGAATCAAACGCAGAGCTCCTGGGCCACAGCCGCGGGCCTCCGGCGGCCGGCCGGAGCGACCCGACCACCGCCCTGCAGGGCCAACCCCCCGCGGGGCGCAGCTGCTCCAGGGGAGCCCCGAGGCCGGAGGAGCTCCAGAGGTCTGCGGGCACGTCCGGGGGGCCTCCTCCCGGAGGTGGGCTGGGGCCCCCTTCTGCAAAGCCAGACCCCCTCGAGTACTGAAAAAATCATGACGGGAGGTTTTTCGCAATTTTCGGCCTCTGGGGGCCCTAACTGGGCCTCGGGAGCGTCAAGAAACGACTCAGGGTGACAAACCGGTCCTGGGGAAGGGGTCGAGAACTCTCGGGTCGACGTAATGAAAAATTCATTACGTCGGGGGTCTGGGAAGCTGGAGGGGCCCTAGGACACACAAGTAATAGATACACACACACAAAGAAAGATACTCCCCATGTTTTCCCAGATCCTCTGGGTTTGTGTCTTCCCCCCCACTTCCAAGAGTTTCCCATGCTTTCTGGGGAATCGACGATTAATCATGTCTGTGTGTTTTCCTCCTCCTGCAAGGCATCCCTCGTGAAGGCGGCCCGAGACCAGACCCGGCGGGCGTGGCGAGCGAGCGAACCACGCGAACACGCCCTTCGGCTGCTCGGCCCTGCGCAGGGCATGGGTGTACGATTCGACTACCAGCCAGACAACATGTATGAATGACTACTCACTTTGACCGTCTTGAAGCTGTCCTCTCCACTGCTCGTGCAAACATCCCACCCTCCCACCCGCAACTTGGTCGGCAGACCTCTTAAGACAAGACCGTGACGGTAGGTACCACATGGCACTTGGCCACGACACCGACGCCGACGACGACAGCGACAACGACGACGACGGCGCCGCCGACAACGACTACGACGACACCGACGACACCGACGACGTCTCCAATGACTTCGACGACGACAACGACGACGACACCGACGACGACGACGACAGCGACGCCGACGACGACGACGATGACAACGACGACGACGACGACGACGACGACGACGACGACGACGACGACGACGACGACGACGACGACGACGACGACACCGACGCCGACGACGACGACGCCGACGCCGACGACGAAGACAACGACGACGACGACGACGACGACGACGACGCCGCCGACGACGACGACGACGACGACGACGACGACGACGACGACGACGAGGGAGGAGGGAGGACGACGACGACGACAACGACGACAACGACGAGGAAGGAGGGAGGACGGCGACGACGCGAACGACGAAGAAGGAGGGAGGACGGCGACGCCGACGACGACAACGACGAGGGGGGAGGGAAGACGACGACGACGACGATGACGACGACGACGACGACGACGACGACGACGACGACGACGGCGACGAAATAGGAGGGTCGACGACGAGACACCGACGACGGACGACGACGTCGAGGGAAGAGGAAACGACGACCACGGCGACAACGACGACGGAAACGACGACGACGCCAAGACGACGACGACGAGGAAAGACAGAGAACGACGACGACGACGACGACGACGACGACGACGACGACGACGACGACGACGACGACGGAGGAGGGAGGACGGCGACGACGACGACGACGACGCAAGAGCGCGCGCGCACGCTTTTGTTGAAAATCCGTGTTGCGAAACCTTGTGTTTTTGTAAGTTTTTTGGACACACGATTTTGAAATCCTCCCGAAACCGATGGGTGTTTGAAGGATTTCGGCCTACGCGCGCGACGACGCGCGCGTCTGCACTTCGTCCCACTTTTTGCAGAGGATTCTCGCGACGGCACACGCGCAAGGGCGTTCGACAGATTTCGACATGCGCGCGCGAAGCCCGTTTGGTAGTATGTTGTGAAAATCTTGAAAAAATATGGTTTTCTTAAGATTTCGCAAGAGCTCGCGCGTAAGCTGCTTTAGCAAATCAGTGTTGCGAAACCCTGTGTTTTTGTATGTGTATTGGAAACTCGATTGCGAAATCCTTCCGACACCGAGGGTTTTTGAAGGATTTCGGCATGCGCGCGCGACGACGCGCGCGTGCACTTCGTCCCCTTTTTTGCAAGGGATTCGAGAAAAAGTGCTATGTTAGAACAAAAGATGTCACCGCATAGTATTTTTTACAAGGGAACCTCAGGGGGGGGATACCGGCTGGCCTGGGACATTGTGATTTCATATTTAGGATGGACATGTGGTCAGAATCATATGTGATTTACATACCCGAAAGGGGGGGCGATAACGCCCGGGGGGGGTAGAGTCTATTCTCTTTTTAGCCACTTTGACCGTCTTGAAGCTGTCCTCTCCACTGCTCGTGCAAACATCGCACCCTCCCACCGGCAACTTGGTCGCAAGACCTCTTAAGACAAGACCGTGACGGTAGGTACCACATGGCACTTGGCCACGACACCGACGCCGACGACGACGACGCCGACGTCGACGACGACGAAGACGACGACGACGCCGACGCCGACGACGACGACGAAGACGACGACGACGTCGCCAACGAAGACGACGACGAGGGAGGAGGGAGGACGACCACGGCGACAACGACGACAACGACGACAACGACGAGGGAGGAGGGAGGACGGCGACGACGCGAACGACGAAGAAGGAGGAAGGACGGCGACGCCGACGACGACAACGACGAGGGAGAAGGGAAGACGACGACGACAACGACGACGACGACGACGACGACGACGACGACGACGACGACGAAATAGAAGGACGACGACGAGACGCCGACGACGGACGACGACGACGACGAGGGAGGAGGAGGAAGGACGACCACGGCGACAACGACGACGGAAACGACCACGACGCCAAAGAGGACGACGACGACGAACACGAGGAAAGACAGAGGACGACGTAGGCGACGACGACGACGACAAGGGAGGAGGGAGGACGGCGACGACGACGACGACGACGACGACGCAAGAGCGCGCGCGCACGCTTTTGTTGAAAATCCGTGTTGCGAAACCTTGTGTTTTTTTAAAGGTTTTTTGGACACACGATTTTGAATTCCTTCCGAAACCGATGGGTTTTGAAGGATTTCGGCATACGCGCGCGACGACGCGCGCGTCTGCACTTCGTCCCATTTGTTGCAGAGGATTCTCGCGACGGCACACGCACAAGGGCGTTCGACAGATTTCGACATGCGCGCACCCGAAGCCCGCTTGGTAGCATTTTGAAAAAATAGTGATAAACCTATGGTTTCTTAAGATTTCGCAAGAGCTCGCGCGTAAGCTTTTTTATCAAATCAGTGTTGTGAAACCCTGTGTTTTTGTAAGTGTTTGGGAAACTCGATTACGAAATCCTTCCACGACGGCGCGCGCGTGGACACTTCGTCCCATGTTTTGCAAGGGACTCGTGAAAAAGTGCTATATTTGAACAAAAGATGTCCCCGCGTATTGTTTTTTACAAGGGAACCTCAGGGGGGTCGATACCGGCCCCCCTGGGATAGTGTAAATTCATATTTAGGATGGACATGTGGTCAGAATCATACATGATTTACATACCCGAAAGGGGGGGGCGATAACGCCGGGGGGGGGGGGGAAGAGTCAACTCTCTTTTTAAAAAGGAGAATCTACCAGACCACCCCAACCCAAGCCGAAGACCCGAATTTCGGGTTGGGAGCGGGTACGGGTTCCGTATATGTTTTCTCGACGTTCCCCGACCCCCCCCACACTGGAAATGGAGTGCAAATTGAGGCCTTCGGGTTGGGTTGGGGTGGTTTGGTGGGTGGTGAATGAAACGTGAGCAGAATTTGGAATTGGGCGTGGGCCCGCAAGAAAATGCGGGCGCAACACTCTTCTGGAGAATCGAAGCGGGGCAATTCGCGAACCGGCTTGACAGGGTGGGGGTCCTCCGCGGTATTGCTGTTCCCCCCCGGCCCCTCCACTTCCCACAGGGGCGTCGGCTACTCGCAAGAGTGACCCTAGGCAAGAGTGACCTTTGGTGCGCAGCTTATCGGGGGACGCGGGATGACCGAACACGAGCACGCAAGACGCTACTGCCTCATCGCGTTCGGCGATCGGGGGCCCATTTGGGCCGACGGGTCACTCCGGCGAAAGGTCACTCTTACGTCTAGTCGAGGGCGTTCCCCCGCGGCCCGAGCTGGGCTGGAGCCGGCCCCGAGGGCCAACTGGGCCACCCCGCGCGCCTCCCACGACACCAGGTGCAGCTTCTCCTGCGCGACCGCGCCGGCGGGAGGATAGATCGATCCGAGGAGGCCAGAGCCTGCGTGCTGCCACGAGCGGGCTGCCGTGCAGCTCCCTCGGCTGGCATGCCATGTTCCGATGGCTTGGCCGCTCGGTTTCCACGGGAAACGCGCCGCAGGCATCGCTGCGTCGCGCCGCCGCGACCGCGCGCCCGACATCTGGCGTTCCGAACGCCGAGAATCCGAGAGGCGTCAGACTCGAGTTTGGCGGACTTCAGCTGGACGGGGACGTCAGACAAATGGCGGGACCTGGTTTGAAGCCTGACGCGGGCTCCCGCGACAAACACCTCGCGAAGACTGCGCCGTCAAAGCGAAATTCCAAGACCGTCAGAAAAGCGGTGGCAAACCCAAGCTCTGGCAGACCTGAGTCCTGCGCTTCCCCGACACGAGCCTTCTGGCCTCGTGGGCGGAGGAGGCGGAGGAGGAGGAGGAGGAGCAGGAGGAGGAGGAGGACGAGCAGGAGGAGGAGGAGGACGAGCAGGAGGAGGAGGAGGACGAGCAGGAGGAGGAGGAGGACGAGCAGGAGGAGGAGGAGGAGAAGGAGGAGGAGGAGCAGGAGGAAGACGGAGGAGGAGGAGGAAGAAGACGGAGGAGGAAGACGGAGGAGGAGGAGGAGGAGGAGGAGGAGGAGGAGGAGGAGGAGGAGAAGGAAGAGAAGAAGGAGGAGGAGGAAGAAAGAGGAGGAAGACGGAGGAGGAGGAGGAGGAGGAGGAGGAGGAGGAGGAGGAGGAGGAGGAGGAGGAGGAGGAGGAGGGGGGGCGGAAGGAGCTCTTCTCTTCTGGCCCGGGCGAGCCGCGGCAACCCCTGCCCCTGTCGCCGCAGATGCCATGCCCAGGCAAGCCCCGGCGAGCAGCGGACGGCAACCCTGGCCTAAGAACACCGACCCGACTTCAGTGGCAACTCACGGGAGCCTCCGATACCATCTTGCCGGTTTTTGCGAATCGGCGCTGATCGACGCGAAATCGACGCCAAATCGGCGCTCAATCGACGCACACCGACGCCAAATCGGCGCTGTCTCATCGACTCCCAGACGCCAATCGGCGCTAATCGACGCGGAAGCCGAAATTACGAGGGTGTACCAGGCTCCCGCGATCTGCTGTCGAACCCGACGACGGTAGCGCCGAGCGCCCCGACAGGCGGCACCGCGACGCCGACGCACCAGCGACCTCGGGACGAGGAAGCTCGGACCCTGGATCGCCGCCGCCTCGCCAACGCATCAGCGACGCCCCTCGCCGATCCACCACCGACGCAAGGGCAGACGCCGGGACGGAGCAGATCAGGCTCGGGATCGCGCAGCGTCACCGATGCATCGGCGCTGCACGGCGCGAGCCTCCGACCCCACTCTGGTCCCACCTTACCCATCGGTCGGAAGAAGTAGATAGAAACATGAAATAGAAAGCGTTGAAAGTACATTGGGTGTCCGCCCGCCCCCTCAGGAGGACGGAGAAGGTGAAGCCACTCGATCATTGAAGTAGAAAGGCGCTTAAAGCAGATCGAGTTCTGGGAATCCAAAGTTACCGACCTTCGACGACCGATGGGTACCTTACGAGGCCTGGGCAAACGCCACGGCAACCTGGAAGGTTCGGAAAGTGGACCCGCGGGGGAGCGAAGACCGTGAGCGCCCTGGCCTCGCTCATGGTCCAAGAGGGGGGGGGAGGAGGAGGAGGAGGAGGAGGAGGAGGAGGAGGAGGAGGGAGAAGGAGGAGGAGGAGGAGGAGGAGGAGGAGGAGGAGGAGAAGGAGGGAGAAGGAGGAGAAGAAGGAAGAGGAGGAGGAGGAGGCCCAGGGACCAGCCAGCACAGAACATCGGGAAAGCCCATCGGATCGGAGTGCGCACCGAAGCAGACCGCCTCGGCACGGCTGGGACGCACAGGGACATACTAGTACTATATTGACTGCCTACCAGACCACCCCAACCCAAGCCAAAGACCCGAATTTCGAGCTGGGGGGGGTACGGGTTCCAAATGTATTTTTTCAATGTTCCTCGACCCCCCCCACACTGGAAATGGAGGGCAAATTGAAGCCTTTGGGTTGGGTTGGGGTGGTTTGGTGGGTGGCGAAATATGTCCTCCTTGGAGGCGCGTGTCCGACCCGAACATATAGTATACCCATCTTGTAGTCCATCGTTTCCCGAGCGGTGTGGTCAGAAAGCGCCCGCCACGAAGCATATACTGAAAGATTTCTCGGTGCGCGCGTCGCCCCTGGGGGGGCGACGCACATACAGTATGAGTATGCTGGGGTGACGCCGAACGGAGTCGGGTTCGGGTCGGGCTGGCCACGCCAGGATGCACAAAAGGCGCCCTGCACACATCGGGCCGCATCGGATCGCTGCCCAGTCGGACACGACTCGGACTGGGCCGGCTGGAAATTGACACCGCACCGGATCCGTCGGACCGAGAGGTGGACCCCGAGGAAGATGGGGAGGTGGACCTGCGAAGGACGCCACCGGCGGCCTCCAAAGCGGGGTCCGAGAGGACCAGGTCGGAGGATCGAGCCGCATCGACGATGCATCGCCCGTGCGACGGGGAGACCTCGGCGCCGTCGGCGTGGAGAAACGCGGGCTCCCCAAGCCGCGTCGCGGATGCGTCGGCGAGGCGCCGCCCCCCGTCTACTCGGACCCCACCGGGAAGGCGTGGCTCACTGCGTGCGCTCCGCTCGGGGACGCACACACCCAGGGCCAGCCCAAACCCGGGTCGGCCAGGGCCCCCGTAAGGAAGCCTGGCCGGCCGCTGCGTAGCTCTCTGACCTGAGCAAGAAATCTGCACTGAGGAATCCTTCAATAATACGGGATCCTCAAGAAAGAATCTTTATTCAGGAATCATCAACTTTCCAGAAATGCTCGGCCGCCCTCCCCTGCATCACCTGCCAAACAGCAGCCTGGCCCGCCGGCCCCACGTGGCTCCCAAACCCAGGTCAGCCAGAGGGAGTTGGCTGACCCCTGTCAGCGTTGGCCCCCGTTACTCGGGAGCGTCCAAGAGGGGGGCGTCCAAGAGGGGGCGCAAATCATGACCAGCGGCACGTGCGCAGCCCAGGGGGGGGGGGCGGGAACGTATTGAAACAAGGAGAGGCGCCATGAAATCTGGGGAAAAATCATAGCTCACGCCATGCTATCCACCCCCCCTAGTCATCACCCCCCCCTTTGCCGCCCCCGAGTTACGTGAGGCACGGCTCGTGCTTCGGCCCCCGGTCTCCGGGATCAGGCTCCCGCGGGAGTACGCCTCGTCCAAGACGGCCTGGTCCCTGATGACGAAGACCACGCAGTCCTCTGGGCGCACGTACTCCCCGACCTTCTCTTGGTGAGGCTTCCGGCTGCGCGCAGACAGACCCCCCCCCAGGCAGTCCCGGCTGGCCTCAGCAGGCCACCCAAGTGGTCCCAGCTGGCCTCAACAGGCCCCTCGAGTAGTCCAGCCTGGGGCGGTCTTCACACTCTGGCGCCACCTCTGGCGCCGCCCCAGAGTTGACGGGGTGTTGCTACCGCCCCCGACTCTGTCGAGGCCAACTGGGACTACCGGGGGGGGGGCCTGTCGAGGTCAGCCAGCACTGCCTGTGGGGGGCTGCCCGTGCGCCGCCCGGAGCCTCGCCAAACCTTCTCTGGGCGGTAGCCGTAGATGGTCCTCCGGCGGGCGCCACAACAGCAGAGGCGCTGGCGCCTGCCCTGCCCTGCACTTTTTTTTTACTAGCTCGAGAGGTCGCCCCGCGGCAAACCCGCTCGCCTCCCGCTCGCCTCCCGCGGCGGCAGGAACGGCCAGCAGCGCCCCTCTCGGCTGTTTTCGCGGGAGCGGCCCCGGGCGAGAGGGCCTATGACGCGCGGCCTGCCCGTCGCTGCGTGCGATGCGACAGCAGCGGCCTGCATGCGTGCGCTTGGAGAAACCAATAGGTACTGATACCGCTGCTCCCCAGACCTCTCCTGGGCCCCGTTCTGACCACCAGAAGTTCGAGGCGAATCCAGCCGCGGCAGCGAGGGCCTCCCAGGAGGCCCAGAAAGGCGGCGCCGAGGCAAGGGCGGCGGTTTCGGCACGTTGTCCTCCTCTGAGCGGCTCGGCCCCCGAAAGCCGCACGCCAAGGATCGCTCCGACAAAGGGTCACCCTGCGCATAACTAGCCAGCGCTCTGTCTCTCTCTCTCTCTCTCTCTCTCTCTCTTTCTCTCTTGGCGGCGCGCACACGGGAGTAGGGGGAGAGGGGAAGGCTTCTTAGAAGAAGGCTGGTTCTTAGAAGATGGGGGCCTTCCGTCTATAGAGAAGGCCCGCGCCTTCTAAGCAGCAGGGGTGCTTCTAAGACGCCTTTCCCCCTCATCCGACCGCCCTCTGCGCGTGGCCGACTCTTTTTCTCTCTCTCTCTCTCTTTTTCTCTTTCTCTCTCTCTCTCTCTCTCTCTTTCTTTCTTTCTCTCTCTCTCTCTCTCTCTCTCTCCCTCTCTCTCTCTCTCTCTCTCTCTCTCTTACTGTCTAAATATATATATATATATATACATATATATATATATATATATATATATATATATATCCGCTCGCCCCCGGCTCCTCGAGCCTGCGCGGCGCGAGCGCTCCCCGTGCTTCCACCACCACGCTTGTTTGCCCGAGGGCCGCGCAGCGCATCTGCCGTGAAGGACGCGTGCCCTGGACCCCAGGACCAGCTCTTCCTTCGGCTAGGCGCGGGGGGGGGGGGGGGCGGGGCGGGGGGCGGGCAGGCGCTCGGCATTATGCAGGCTTCTCTGTTCCTCTCCCCTTCGCCTGCTCCTGAAATCTTCTGCTGATCCCCCCTCCCCTCTCCTCCTCCTCCTTCCTCCCCCTCCTCCTCCTCCTCCTCCTCCTCCTCCTCCTCCTTCTCCTCCTCCTCCTCCTCCTCTCCTCCTCCTCCTCCTCCCTCCTCCTCTCCTCCTCTCTCTCCCCTCCTCCCTCTCCCTCCTCCTCCTCCTCCTCCTCCTCCTCCTCCTCCTCCTCCTCCTCCTCCTCCTCCTCCTCCTCCTCCTCCTCCTCCTCCTCCTCCTCCTCCTCCTCCTCCTCCCTCTTCCTCTTCCTCTTCTTCTTCCTCTCCCTCTCCCTCTTCCCTCCTCCTTCTCCTCGTTCTCCTCCCTTCGGCTAGACGCAAGAGTGACCTCTGGGCAAGAGCGACCTCTGGCGCGCGATGTTTTGGGGGCCGCAGGGGCGACCACAGCCAGGCGCGCAGGCCGCTGCTACCGCGTCGCGCTCCGCGATCGGTGGGGCCCCAATGAGCCCGCACCAAAGGTCACTCCGACGAAGGGTCACTCCGGCGAAGGGTAGCCGATTCATCCCGTCCTCAGATCCTGGCTGGAAGGTTTCTCCGAGGGGCTTAGGCGACCCCTCCACCTCCTCCTCCTCCTCCTCCTCCTCCTCCTCCTCCTCTCCTCCTCCTCCTCCTCCTCCTCCTCCTCCTCCTCCTCCTCCTCCTCCTCCTCCTCCTCCCTCCTCCCTCCTCCCCCTCCTCCCCTCCTCTCTCCTCTCCTCCTCCCCTCCTCCTTCTCCTCTTCCTCCTCCTCCTCTCCTCCTCCTCCTCCTCCTCCTCCTCCTCATCCTCATCCTCCTCCTCCTCCTGGGATCGCCTACGCCCCCGGGGGAAACCGTGCAATCCTGGCTCTGCAATCTCTTCACACCGGGTGTCTTCGCCCGGTGTCGGGCCCCAGGACCCTCCCGCAGAAAGATGGGGTCTACGGCTCCAGTCGAGACTTCTCACCACGTTGCAATTTTGTGCAGCAGCGTCGGATCGCAAGGAAATCTCCATTCCGAGTCGCTTTTGACGCTCCCGGGGCCCGAGGCAGGGTGCCAGGATATTGCTTTTGTTATAACTTCGTACAACCGTCGTTACCTGGGGGAGTCGGGGCCCCAGGTAACGGTAACGCTTGGTCGGGGTAGGGTACGTCAGGATGGGGGCGCGCTGCGATCGCACTCGCACGCGCGCGAGCACCAGCATGTGGGGAAGGGTCCAGCCCCCCCCCACGTACGATCGTTACCGGTACCGGGGGGCAGGCGAAGGTGGCGAGCCGGGTAACGGCCGTTACGCGCCTGAGAATCGAAAATTAGCCTGGCGAAAGACCCAACCACATGCAGTTGTGGGTACCGCAAATGTCGGTATCGTCTTCGGTGGAGCTCCCTATGGGATACGAAACGCTGCAGTGCGTGGGGGAGACGCATGCGAATTTTGCCACTGGGGCGGTCGCAGGATCTCCCTATGGGCCACGAAAAGCTGTACTGGGTAGCGGGGACGCATGCGAAATTTGACACTGGGGTCGTCGGTGGAGCTCCCTATGGGACACGAAACGCCATGCTGGGTGGGGGAGACGCATGTGAACTTTGCCACTGGGGCCGTCGGTGGAGCTCCCTATGGGGCCACGAAACGCTGTACTGGGTGGGGGGACGCATGTAGACGGTGCCACTGAGGCCGTCAGTGGAACTCCCTGTGGAGCCACGAAACGCTGTACTGGGTATGGCAGACGCATGCGGACGGTTCCACTGGGACATCCAGTGGAGCCCCCAATGGGGCCATGAAACGCTGTACTGGGTAGGGGAAACGCATGCGGACAGTGCCACTGGGGCCTTCGGTGGAGCTCCCTAAGGGCACACGAAACGCTGTACTGGGTGGAGGGGGCGCATGCGGGCTCCCCATGGGGCCACGATACGCTGTACTGGGTGGGGGGGACGCATGCGGGCGGTAGCGTTGGGACCTTCCGTGGAGCTCCACAGGGGGCCACGAAACGAATTACTCGGCGGGGGGGACGCACGCGGGCGGTAGCACTGGGGCCGTCGGTGGAGATCCTATGGAACCACGAAACGCCATGCTGGGTGGGGGGGGGGGGGACGCATGCGGGCGATAGCACTGGGTCTTTCGGTGGAGCTCCCTATGTAGCCACGAAACGCTGTAAAAGTTTGGGGGGGCATGCGGGCAATAACACTAAGACCTTCGGTAGAGCCCCCTATGGGGCCACGAAGCGTGTGAGGGGTGTGCTGCAATGGTAGACTGATGCGGAGAGTAGAGGCGGGGATGGGAGGAGGGAGGGGGAGGAGAAGGAGAGGAAGAGGAAAGCGGGGACTCTCTTCAAAACGAAGACCCAACACCACAGGATGGTTGGCAACAATCTCCAGAGGAGCCGGTTCCGCGTGCGCGGGCTCCTGATGAGGTACCACCAGTCCACGGCCAGCGCGCCGAGGGAGGGAAGGTAGGCGAGCCACTTCCCGCTCATGTGGAAGTGGAAGATGTCCCAGAAGCTCTCGGATACGCTCAGGGGCCGAATTCCCGAGATCGTTACCTACTTTTCGGCGGTAATCCAAGCTGTCAGACAGGGGGGATTCGCTGGCCGATGACCTGACATTTTCGTTCTGTGCAGCCCCACGCAGGCCCACGCGCACCAATATCGCGTACCCCCTTCGGACCTGCGCAACCGACAATATCAGGTTGTCTGGGGGGGAGCGGAAAGGGCGAGCGGGCCCGACAACCCGGGCTATCACCAGACCCTTACAAAAACGGCCTCCCCATCCCCTCGGATCACGAAACGACACGACGCGAGGTTTCTGGCTACTTTCGACCTCTGGAGGCCCTTGCCGAGCCCCAGGACCGTCCGAAAACGACTCGGGACGAAAAACTGGCCCTGGGGAAGGGGGCGATACCTCCGAAATCTGCTCCTCGGCTTTGAGGGCGACGAAATCTATACATAGCCATTGCTCCCTGGCAAGGCCCATCCTGAACCCAGCAGCAGAGTGTACGCCACGCCCTCCTGGCTTGGCCAGGAGGGCGTCTGCACAGCTCCAGGGCACAGGAAGGGCCCGGCCAGGGGGCAGTGGATAGGTATAAAATGCGTTGCCCGAGGCTTCTGAGAAGCCTGCTTAGCATCAGGTCGGGCGTGTCCTCCTACAGGCGGGTTTGGGACGACAAGTAACACAAAACCAAAACAACAAAAAAACGTCCCCATATTCTGTTTGAACTATTTCCCAACCATCCTGTGGTGTTGGGTCCTCATTTTGAAGAGACGGTCCCCGCGTCCTCCTCTCCTCTCCTCTCCTCTCCTCTCCTCTCCTCTCCTCCTCTCATCTCCTCCTCTCCTCCTCTCCTCTTCACCCACCCAGTACACCGTCTCGTGGCCCCATAGGGAGCTCCGCGAAGGCCCCAGTGCTGCCGCCCGCATGCGTCATCCACACCCAATTCGGCACACCCCTCACACGTGTGGCCCCATAGGGCCCGCCGGAGGCCCCAGTGATGCCGCCCGCATGCGTCACCCACACCCAATTCGGCACACCCCTCACACGTTTCGTGGCCCCATAGGGAGCCCCACCGAAGGCCCCAGTGCTGCCGCCCGCATGCGTCACCCACACCCAATTCGGCACACCCCTCACACGTTTCGTGGCCCCATAGGGAGCCCCACCGAAGGCCCCAGTGCTGCCGCCCGCATGCGTCCCGCACACCCAATTCGGCACACCCCTCACACGTTTCGTGGCCCCATAGGGAGCCCCACCGAAGGCCCCAGTGCTGCCGCCCGCATGCGTCCCGCACACCCAATTCGGCACACCCTCACACGTTTCGTGGCCCCATAGGGAGCCCCACCGAAGGCCCCAGTGCTGCCGCCCGCATGCGCCCCGCACGCCCAATTCGGCACACCCCTCACACGTTTCGTGGCCCCATAGGGAGCCCCGCCGAAGGCCCCAGTGCTGCCGCCCGCATGCGTCCCGCACACCCAATTCGGCACACCCCTCACACGTTTCGTGGCCCCATAGGGAGCTCCGCCGAAGGCCCCAGTGCTGCCGCCCGCATGCGTCATCCACACCCAATTCGGCACACCCCTCACACGTTTCGTGGCCCCATAGGGAGCCCCCGAAGGCCCCAGTGCTGCCGCCCGCATGCGTCCCGCACACCCAATTCGGCACACCCCTCACACGTTTCGTGGCCCCATAGGGAGCTCCACCGAAGGCCCCAGTGCTGCCGCCCGCATGCGTCACGCACACCCAATTCGGCACACCCCTCACACGTTTCGTGGCCCCATAGGGAGCTCCACCGAAGGCCCCAGTGGCGGCGCTCACATGCGCATGCGTCCCGCACACCCATTTCGGCACATCCCTGACAGGTTTCGTGGCCCCATCATCCACCGGAGGCCCCAGTGGCGGCGCTCACATGCGTCACCCACACCCACCCAATTCGGCACACCCCTCACACGTTTCGTGGCCCCATAGGGAGCTCCACCGAAGGCCCCAGCGGCCGCGCTCACATGCGTCCCCGCCACCCATCCCGGCACGCCCCTCACAACAACAGGTTTCGTGGCCCCATAGGGAGCTCCACCGAAGGCCCCAGTGGCACCGCCCGCATGCGTCACCACCCGCACCCAATTCGGCACACCCCTCACACGTTTCGTGGCCCCATAGAGAGCTGCACCGAAGGCCCCAGTGGCGGCGCTCACATGCGTCCCCGCCACACATCCCAGTACACCCCTCACGCGCTTCGTGGCCCCATAGGGAGCTCCACCGAAGGCCCCAGTAGCGGCGCTTACATGCGTCTCCGCCACCCATCCCGGCCCCCCCCCGCAGCAGCATCATGTTTCGGGGACCCATAGGGAGCTCCACTGGAGGCCCCAGTGGCGACCCGCACATGCGTTTCCGCCACCCATGTCGGCACGCCCCGAGCGTGTTTCATGTCCCCATAGGGAGCTTCGCCGAATGCCCCTGTGGCACCCATCTCGGCACACCCCTCACACGTTCCGTAGTCCTATGGGGAGTTCCATTGAAGATGAAACCCGCAGCTGCGGTTCTGACAACTGCATATGGTTGGGTTCTTCGCCAAGCTAATTTTGAATACTCCTCCTGTAGAGGGACAGGCCCGACTTAAGCTCAGAAGCCCCTGGGCCGTTCTGACAGGCCTCTGCCTCCTGAGAAGCTCCGGCCGCCCTCTCGGAAGGCCGACCCCCCCTCCCTGCGACGCCCCCTTGGTGCGCGCCGCCCACAAGGTGGCCTCGGAGTGCTTCGCTGTGTTCGAGGGCCGAGGCCATCGAAAGCCGGCGCTGGGTGAGTTTGGACAACCGAGCTGGGTACGGAAAACATGGGTACGATGCCCAACAGCAAGTGCTGTCCAAAAACGACAGCTGTTGGGCAGGCGGCCTTCTGTCTCAAATGGACAAAGTCCGTGGCGGCGCGGACAGCGAGTCCTGTTCAAATTGAACAAGCACTGCTGCTGGGCATTGTACCTATTCTTCCTCCTCCTACTCCTCCTCCTCCTCCTCCTCCTTCTCCTCCTGCCTGGGCCGCCGTCGAAAGCTGGCGCTGGGTCAAGAGCTGGCCCCGGGGAAAGCCCCCAGGGGGTCTGAGACCCGTGGCCCGCAGGGCCCCCATCTTCCTCCGTGGCGACAACGAACGGGTCGTCGCGGGGCCACTCCTAAAGCCGCGTTCGGGCACGGCTCCCCCCATCCCGCACCCAGAGGTGGCCGAGGAACAAACGAAACGGGCTGACGACATCCACCCTGCGAAGACCTGGAGTGAGAGAAGGCCACGTTGAGTGGAGGGTTCAAAAGCGCACACAAATGGAAACGGCGCCGGCATAGACAGCTGCGACGGCGGCGGCAGTGGGATGGCGCCGATATGGAATCACCATCTGGATCGAAAACAGACGGTGGGCCCGCAAAACTGGCCTTTTGTGAAATGTGGTGGGTATGGGAATCCAGCCTCTGACATGGGAATCCAGCGGGAGATGGGCCTCAACAATTTGCTGATACACGGGCAATTGATCTCCGAGGAAAACGTTCCAGAGATCTTGAAGTCCGCGGGGGTGTTGAACGAAGGGAACTCCCAATCTTGCAAGCACGTCGTAATATCAACAACTGTTAGAAGGGCAGCTATGGCACATCGCTGCCACTGGTTGGTTGCTGACTGCAGACCACTATTGGGAAGACGATAGAGGACCTCAGATGTGACAATGTGCCTCTCCCAAATGCCATTGGTTCCACCAGTCTTGTAAAGCCCGTAAACCAACAGAGGCAACAGAACCAGAAAAATTGACCACGCGACCACTACCCGTACCCATCCACCATACAGATCGTTCCAGACCCTCTTCACAGGAGCACCCCAGCTGCCCCACACCCTGCGGTCCTGCAGGACGGTGTCCGTGATCATCACAATAGAGAGCAGGTCGAACACAGCAGCCGTACTCTGCCAGATCTTCCCCCAGTCGTGGTACCGCAGAACTGAGTCTTCGGTGATGGGTTCTGATAGAGTGCCGCTCTCGATAAGATTCACGGGATACTTCAGCACGTCCGCCACCGTGCCCCGAGGGCGCGAAGCGGAATCTCCTCGGGTTCCCTCGCATTCTCCGCACGGGGTGCTGCAAATGCTTTGTACGGGGCTGGGGGCCCAGATTCACGGGTGCTGTTGGGCGCTCCTGGGCACTCTTTGGCGCAGTGGGAATCGCCGTGTTACTTTACTGGAGGCTTCGGAAACGCGGTTCGGCTTCCATATCTCCGACATGACTGAAGATGGCCCCAGGACCCATCCTGGAGCTCACTTCGGCACCTCTTGGGCCATCGTGGAAGGTCTGAGAGCCGCCCCAAAGGCCAAAACCATTGAATAACCTATTGCGTAAAGTTGTTCAGTGAGTTCAAATTCACGCCTTTTCAGGCTGAAGAGTGCCCAAGACCGCCCAAGAGGTCTCAAAGATCGCCCGAAGACAGCCTCCCAGCCCACAAGAGGGGCCCAAGAGGCCTCCAAGACAGCCCCAAGAAGGTACCACGAGGGGGAACACGAACTGACCTCTGGAGCCCCGGATCACTCGATGGCCTCCGAGACCACCAGACAGCCTCCGAGACAGACAGGAGGCCCCAAAGAGGCCCTCAAGAGTCTCCAGGAGCCCCCCAAGACCCCTAACAGGCCTCCCGAGCGACCCCGAAAGATATCCAAGAGGCCTCAGGTCCACAACCCAGGCGCGGTGGCGGGTTAGATCGAAGGCCAATCCGCCGCCCCCTTTTACTTGCTGGACCCCTCCTCAAAGACCCCCGGAAACCCCCCAGGAGGCCACAAAAGGGCCACAGGAGGCATCATCTTCCTCCTCCTCCTCCTCCTCCTTCTCCTCCTCTCCCTCCTCCTCCTCCTCCTCCCTCCTCCTCCTCCTCCTCCTCCTCCTCCTCCTCCTCCTCCCTCCTCCTCCTCCTCCTCCTCCTCCTCCTCCTCCTCCTCCTCCTCCTCTCTCCTCCTCCTCCTTTTTCTCCTCCTCCTTTTCCTCCCTGTCCTCCTCCTCCGTCTCTCCCTCTCCCAAGGGTTCCCCCAAGGGGGTCCACAACGGCTGGGGCAGCACATGGCCGAATATCTTGGCCAGACGTTGGCCCGACGTTCGGCCACACAGGCGCTTCCAGAAAGGAAGAGCGGCGGTGGTTCGCCGTAGGCGTCCTAGTTACTCAAAGAAAATGATGAAGGTAAAGACGTTCACCAGCAGTACACCCTTCTCCCCTGCAAACATTGTAAGCCCGAGCGTGTCGCGAAGAAGACAATGGTGGATCACGTGCCGCCCAACCCAGATACTCAGCGCTGTGACACATACCAATAATCTGCCATCGTGCCTGGTGCACGTTGAGGCGTGGAAGAATGCCAAGGGCTGCCTGGCAGGGCTGTTGTATTCAAATGAAGGACACCCCCCCACACACACACACACACACACACACACACACACACACACACACACACACACACACACACACACACACACACACACACACACACACACACACACACACACAAAAAAACAACAACAACAAAAAAAAAAAAAAAAAAAAACTAGCACTCCTTGCATGCATCGCCCCCCTCTCCCGAGGTCCCTGGGCCACGATCCCTCGCAAAAAGCGATTGATCCGCGCCCCGAGCTTCTAACATGGCCCAGGCAGGCAATCAAGGCCGCCAAGACGGCCCAAGATGCCTCGACGACGGCCCAAGATGGCCCCAAGGCGGCCCAAGA